TGTGTGTGCTGGAGCCGCCTGTACCCTGCCTTTCGGCTGGTGATACTGGAATGTAGGATATGGTGGAGGTGAATTCTTTATTTTAAATTATGAAGGTACGGAAGCAAATAGAGTAGATACTTGTGTAGCTCCGCCAAGATTATAATTGTTGTTAACACTTTGGTATATTTGCTTCATCTCTCTTTTTTCAAAGGGAAGAAAACCAAGGCTGAAGGTCCACCCCATCTACCCCCCCCCCAAGTGTCACATATTTCCTTTTCAATGCATGTGGCTGTACATTACTATATATGTATTCCTGAACAATGTATACTACTATTGCGTATTAAAAAATTATACAAATGGTATCATATTGCATTAACCTTTCGTTGCTTTCTCTTCAAATTCAGCATTATCATTTTTAGATTTGAACTGATTCGATATGTGGATCTTCCTACCTCGCTTTTTAAAATACTGTATAGAATTCCATTGTATGACTACAGGAAACACCATTTTTCCCTTTACCTACTGTGTTCGAATTTGATTGTGTCCCCTTTCTGGCTCTCGGAAGCAGTGTCACATCGAGGATCCTTCCGGAACACTGGAGTGTTGTATTGACATATACTTATTTACATGCAAGTTGCTGGGCCATAAGGCAGTGCACCCTTACACTCAGTGGGGAAACTGCCGTGTAAAACTTTTTAGAAATAAATAAGGGAAAATAAACCTTGGATATTTCTTCAATTTTCAAGTATGAGCATGAAGTTCAGGGTAAGGTGAAATGAAAAATGGAGCCTGGAATTTTGCACATTTAACATAGTACAGAGACGTGGAAGTTAATACTCAAATCCTTTGTTAAAGTAGCTTCCTAACATAAGTATTAAAGTAAATGAGTCATTTTTAGCTATACTTTCCCTCTCCAACAATGTTTGAGAGCATTCAGATTTCTTAAAAGAGAAGAATAATTTTTTTGCTACTGTGTGTGCTCATGTTCCACTTTAAGATCCTGCTTATTTAGAAATGAGTGAAATAAGTTCTTGTTTTTCTTATTTTTAAATAACAAACAGAAATGCTGTCATCTCATGAATTTTCTGAAGATTCTCATTTAGTTTAGTTTGGAGCTTCTCTTTTTATTGAAACTGCTGAAGGCCCGGGCATTTGCAGGAATGACTTGGAGGGTTGGCGGTTAATAGCCGAGGGCCTGTGCTGCTTTAGCGTGAAGCTCATTGTTTTCGGCTTTTGGATGAAGCTGGTTATGCATGTATCAAAGATTTGGATGGTACAAGTGATTTCACTTTTATAATGAGTTTCTTCATCACTTTAATATTTTTATAATAACTTGATTTAGTAACTTTTTGGAAGACATTCATTCATTCAACAAACACTTACTGATGGCAGGCCCTCTTCCAGGGAGCATGCCAGGAGTGTGGGAGCTTATATTCAAGTGATGAGGACAGCGTACATACATGGACGCAAAATTAAGGAGTTTAACTAACTAAATCCAGTCATCTCCCCTGTGTTTTTAAAAGAAAATCAGAACTGCATGAAAATGATGGGGCTGGGGCTGTGCTCAGCTAGTTAGGCTGGTCGGAGAAGGGGTGACTTCGGAGCTAGAAAGGCTGTGTATCCTCAGCTCTCAGCAACTTGCACTCAACTGTCTGGTAATCTTGTTTGCCCTGAATATGGTGCTGAGAGTTGAGGTAAACAAAAAGACTCTCAGTAGCCAAAATCGACATCACCAAACAATAAAAGCCCACGTGCTTTCCTCATGGACTGATCCTGCATAGTGTTTACCATGTAGTGGATTTCTCCATCCTCAGCAGATTCCATTGGGATCGAGTTCAGGGTCACAAGCCGTGGCTGAGTGCTTTGACGGCAAGTGAGGAGACAGCACAGTGAGACCAGAGTTGTGCTCTGGGGCTGTGCAGACAGCCGGCAGCAGTAGGCTCAGCCTGTCGATTCACGTTTCATAATGATTATTTGTTTGAAGATGTCAGAGAAGCATACAATAGATCTTTGAAAGGCCTGTATCTAAAGTGATTAAAAAATATTGCCCTGGCCAGTGTGGCTCAGTTGGTCATCCTGTGCACCAAAAGATTGCCTGTTCGATTCCTGGTCAGGGCACATGCCCAGGTTGTCTGTCTGTCTGTCTGTCTGTCTCTCTGTCCCCCCTTCTTCTCTCTCTAAAAATCAATAAAGACATATTTAAAAAAATAAAAACAGTATTGATCATTAAAGAATTAGACAACTGAAGTATTATATTTAGAAATTGCTCTTTAAAGGTAAGACTTAGGAAATAATTAATACTCTAGAGCTGTAGTCGGCAAACTGCGGCTCGCGAGCCACATGCGGCTCTTTGGCCCCCTGACTGTGGCTCTTCCTAAGCCTTAGGAGTACCCTAATTAAGTTAATAACAATGTACCTACCTATATAGTTTAAGTTTAAAAAATTTGGCTCTCAAAAGAAATTTCAATCATTGTACTGTTGATATTTAGCTCTGTTGACTAATGAGTTTGCCGACCACTGCTCTAGAGCTAACACTACAACCATATTGTAATAAATAATTGTAGCATCTGTGTAGAGTTCCAAGTCGGATTATTATATTGCTGGTTATAATAGCAATATGAATTAGTAGAGAAGGCAGCCCCATTTTGTAGGTGGAAATGTAGAGCAAATATCATTATAATTGACCATATTCCCACACCCGAGGCACAGTAGGATTTGGATTTAGATTTTATACATTTCTAACCCAGAGAGTCTTTAACTGAACTAGAGTTCGTAATCTCTTTTCTGTTCAGTGGCTCTCACGTAGGGCACTGGGCTGCTGATGGGCACCAGCCCCAGGTCGAGCTGCAGGCCCACTGCGCTGTGTTACAGGTCACCTCATTCCCGGCTCACGGTGAGTGAGTGGCCAGGCAGGTTAGTGCCAAATGAATTAGCCTGCGTATCTAACAGGAGAGCAAATAGGTTTAATTGTGGAAGTCAGTAGTGAAATCTCCCCAGCAGATGTGCTTGCTGGCTTTCCTCTGAAGTTGGCCTGTTCTGCAGATTGTTGCTGTGGCTCCATTGAAGATTTGCTTATACTCTCCCCTACCCTACCCGCCTCTCATCTGCCTCCCCTGCACCCCAGTCTGCCCCAAAGCTCTTCAGAGCTAAGTGGGTGGAGATTCTGTACATTGTGACTGCTTTGGTACTAGTAGACTTCCTATAACGTCCTGTTGTTGTTTCGTTTAGGAAATAGAGCCCCCACCCCAAACAACACTTCCATATTGTGTGTGAGGTTCCTGTAAACCAGAAAGCAACATATTAAAGTGCAATTCAGAGGGGAGTTAGCTGGCTGTGTTGACTGAGCTTTGCAGTCATTTTAACACCGGCAAAAGTGTTACCCTAACTGCTTCAAATCAAACTGCAAAGACACTTGTGTGAAATACAGTATTAGATATCAAATCAAACATATGGGTGTTGAACGCAAGGATATGTGTTGTGGGTAGTATATGGTATTCCAGCATGTGGAGTTGTATTTTATGGAAATTCTTTGGCTTGGCTTATGGCAGGGACACACATTCATTATAAGATATCAAACTGTAAAATAAATAAAAGTAAAGAATTCAACTGTGCTGTAAATGGTTTTTCAGTACAAACTTGCCTGCTCTACTGACTTGGGCTCTGTGTGCCGGGGCCCTTGTGACCATGGTGGCCAGATGGTTTGTCATCATTGCTGATAGGTCTCGGAAATATCTCGATTGGTTCAAAAGAAGTGTGAACTGTAACTTTTTACATTTTTTCCTTTTACTTCATTGTATGTGTTATGAATTACAGCGCTAATTGGTCTTTGAGGCGAAGTATTTTAGTATTTTTCTCGTTTTACCATTCCCTGTTTTCATCATTCAATATTCTGTAGTACATTTGTTTCTTAAGTGTGTATCTGCAACTGATCACTGAATTCTTAAGTGTGTGGGCTTCTGGGGCTCAAGTTCTTGGAGTTCTCAGATGGACCATATTGTGGCATTAACAGAGTGACTTCACTGTTCTTGTCTCCAGGGTACTGCTTTTGGCCATCTTGTTTTTCTTTTCCTGTCCTGCTCTCTCTCCTAGTTAGAAAGAAAGTCAATAGATTTCTCATTAAAAACAAAAACAAAAAAACACACACACATGAAAAAAGTATCAACGGTATACTTATTACATGAGAAAGAAACAACATTTTTTTTTATTAATGGTTTCCAGGATTTTTAAGCTTATGTAAATTAGAGATAGAGAAGACTCATTTAAGGCCATATTTTTGTTTATACCTCCTATTTTTTTCAGTGCAGTGCACTGCTTTACATCATTACCTGTTTCATCAACTAGGGAAATACTATCTTTGTATTAGGTTGAATACTTTCCTTCAGTAACTCATATTGATAGTTACATTATTTGACATTCATAATATTCTAAAAGGGTTTCATTTGTTGTAAAGCAGTGTAGGTGTGTGTGTGTGTGTGTGTGTGTGTGTGTGTGTGTGTTTAGCAAAATAGTCAGTGGAATTGCTAATGTAATTGTACCGTATGTGCTAAAAACGTAATTGGGAAGTTTTGGCCTTAGTTGAAAGAAGCATGCGCCCTATACATGCATCCAAACCACAAGATTCTGCAAAATGGGAGTTAGTGAACTTGGACTGTTGGAGTTCATTTTCATCTTGTGGGTTGCATGAGAATGGATTAACATAATGCTTCTTTCTTAGCTATTTTTAAATGTCAGTATTAGGAGCCTGCCCTCCCCTCCACACACACATTTTATGAAGTTACTAATATTTACTATCTGATAAAAATATATTTTTTAAAGCAGTGTCAAATTATCTTTTGCTTCCATTGATAGTATGTGAATAGAAGGCAAGGGGACGATTTATGTAAGGGAAAGAATATTAAAAATATTGAATTCAATTGCTTAGCCAAGAACCCACTTCATGTTGCTGAATTGAAACCATATTTGATCTCACTGACTTGCACCTTCTGACTTCTCGCTTCCTTTGCCTGCCTTTGTGACAGATGCCACCGCAGTATGGACAGCAAGGAGTGAGCGGTTACTGCCAGCAGGGCCAGCAGCCGTATTACAACCAGCAGCCGCAGCCTCCGCACCTGCCTCCGCAGGCGCAGTACCTGCCATCCCAGCCCCAGCAGCGGTACCAGCCGCAGCAGGTGAGCCCCACCCGCCGCCCTTCGCCGGGCCTCGCGCTGGCCGCGGTCTGGTCCCAAAGACAGGCCGGGCTCCTGTCCCACTGAACAAATTCCCTTCTTAGTGGGAAAATGTAGTTTTAGAAAATGCAAAACTATAACCTAATCTAAACTGTTTATGGATGGGTGTTTGAAATTGAAAGGTGGGAAGAATGTTGAACAATAGCGTCTTACATTACTGGATAGTGACAGCAGAAAATGTAAGACTTTTCATGTTCTTTGTCATTTGTGTTTTGAATCTTTCAAGAAAGTGGTCTGTCACTTTGAGGCTTATTCAGGAAAATGGTTTTATCAATCATTAAATCTTGCGAGTTGGTACATTCATGGTATTTTTACCGTGAACTTTTTTTTGTTTTGTTTTTGTTTTAATGGCAAGCACCACTGTATTAAAACATCAAATTCTTTGGCAGTGTTATTCTTCTGTAACCAGCTTATAAACAGCCACTTCAATTACAATATATTATAAAACTAAAGGGAATCATGTACTCTAAGTATATGAAGCAGCATCTAGTTTAAATTAGCCTCATTAAATATTCTTGTAAGTTATGGGCTATACATTCAGCTTATATAATTTTAGGAAAACAGTAATATATGCATTTGGTAAATATATGCATTTGGTAAAATTGTTCAGTTTCATCTTGTTTTAGAAACTGTCATTAGGGGATACTAAAGCATCGTGAGCTAGGGACTCTAATCCAAATAAAACTTTTAGCACTTCCATCATAAGCATCATGATGTAACTTGCCATTTTATATATTTTTTCTCTTCTTTCTCTTTTGTGGGGTAGGGCTGGTGAAGAGATGGGAAGAAAGGACATTGACTTTTCAGTTTTTAAAGTGCTTTTTACACATCTTGAGGTTGGTTGAGGCTAAGCAAAATATATAAATATATGAAGTTTAGTTTTAATCAGTTCAGTTGAATTCTTAAGTATTATCTTGGGTTCATTGGAGTCTTCCCATGTCACTTTTATTTAAGAGTTCTAAAAGGAGTTTCTTACTTTAAACAAAATACATTAAACATGTTAAATCCTGTCTTTTGCATACATGTTTTCAAAATTTTGTTACCATGTAAAGGGATTTATCGAGGGAGGAATGTACATTATTTCCAAGTTATTTGTTCTGGTCTTTTATTAAACTGTGGGAAATTAAAAACCTTTCTCATATCTTTTTCAGTAAGAGCCTGGTGTCTGGGTTTGTGAGATGTAAAGCTATAGGTTTTTCGGGAGTTTTCAGAACTGATTGAACTTCTCTGTAGATGTAGAATGTTTTGTCATGTCATCAAAATTTAGGAAGGACTCAAGAGAGAGATTACATTACTCATTTTCCTTCACTGTGCTGAAATGAATCTCTGATTGTAAAACCAATTTGATTAAGGATTCTGAGTGCCTGTCATTTCCTTAAGACCAAGCTCAAAATTGACTTCCTTTATGAAGCAGCCACTGATGACTTCTGCCACATGGCAATTAGTTATTTAATATCCTTCACACTTAAATATTTAAAGCATACTACAGGTAAAATTGTATTTTAATGAATAGTATTCTAATGGGCTTAGTTTAGGATTGTTTTATGCTTTGATTGATACATATCATTGTATAGGAAATACTACATAACCATGACTTTTTAACATAAATATTGTGTTTTTTCTGAGAAAAGCCAAACATTCCTCAGAGTATGTTGGAAATGTTTTATTTTCATGCTCCCTAACTGCCGAGTGTCTAGTATTTTTCAAGTTTCATTAAATTCATGACGGGACAAAGCAGTCAGTGGAAGGTGGACACGTTTCAGTGGCCTAACCAGGGGGTCTGGTTTGACAGGGACAGTTTGTGTTTTAGAGTTTGATGTTCTTTCTATGTTCAGACTGTCTTAGAAAGTTTCTCTGGGAAGTGAAATCTTGTATTTTAGGTATAGTTAGCACCTCCCAAAACAGAAGAATTCCCCCAAATATATCCAAAAACAAAAATAGCCAATAAAATATTTTCAAAATCAAGCTGAATTTTAATAAGAATTTGTAATACTGAATTCACATACATTTAAAAACCAAAGTGGTTTAACTATGTTTAATGTAATAAGCCGGTTTTTCACAACAGACATAATATTCCTTTCTGCAGACTTCAGTTTTGTTTCCAATCATAGCATACATAGATTTTATATTAGGGAATCAACCAGCAAATAATACTTCATGTGTCTGGTCAATGTGATTGATACAGAAGGTAATTTTAGAGTTCCATTAAGATACCTCACTCATTTTGTGTCTTTAACAATTTTTTATATATAATGTTTTGAATAATCAATACATTCATTTGCTTTAGAAATTAAAAAGTACAAAGAAAGGTCTCTCACCACAGTTCTTTTTGCCTAATCTACCACCACTCCCTCCTTTGCCAGATAACCACTTTATTAGTTTATTGTATTTCTTCCCAGAGTTTCTTATACAAAGCAGCAAAATACCATATTTTAATTTTTACACACATGATGGCATACTATATTTAACATACTATTTGTACTCTCTATTTTTTTGTCGCCCCATTCCTCATTCACTTAAATATATTTTCTGTAGATCTCTGCAAAAAAGTACATACGGTAGCCCTTTATTCTTTTTAATATAGCTTTATTCATGAACCTACCCTAATCTATTTTACCAGTTCTCTTTTTGTGGGCATCTAGATTATTTTTAGTTATTTGCAATTTAAACAATATTGCCATGATAAACTTTGAATATGTGCCATTTCATAAATGTGCAAGCATATCTGCAGGATAAGTTCCTGGAAGTGACACTACAGCTATAATTTTGGAAAATATTGCCAGATTGTTCCTCTCAGGGGTTGTACCAGTCTATACTCCCACCATCAATGTGTGAGAGTACTTGTTTCCTGGCATATGTGCCAAAGGCATGGTTTTATGAAGCTTCTGGATTTTTGCCAATCTGATCATGTAGTTTTAATTTGCATTTATCTTGTGATTGATGGCTGAGCATCTTATATATTTAAAAGTATTTGTATTTCCTTTCCTTCAAGACTTTAAACTCATTTTTTTTATCTTAAATTTTTCTATTTAGTTGTTGGTCTTTAAAAAAATTGATTTATGAAAACTCTTTATATATTAGGGAGACCAGACCTTTGTAATCTAAGTAAGTAACCACTATTCCTCATCTTGTCATTTGTCTTTTGACATATTATGGGATTTTTTTTTTTTTAGGAGGATGGTCATATGGAGGGGCTTATATGCATATATATCCAGTATATGTATACACATCGATTGGTTAGGATAGATTTATTATAAGGAATTGTCTCACATAATTATGGAGACTGGCAAGTCCAGACTCCGCTGTGTGGGCCAGCATGCTGGAGACCCAAGAGAGCCGCTGTTTAGTTGTGGTCCAAAGGCTGACGGCTAGAGACCCAGGAGGAGGGCCCCACGTCAAGATGAAGTCTGAAGGTAGGTGGCTGGTGATGCCTTGTGGCTTCCAGAAGCCGGTTTTTCTGTTCTAGTCAGACCTTCAGATGATTGGATGAGGTAACCCACATTATGGAGAGCAGTTTACTCTATTGAAAAATCACTGATTTACATGCTAATTTCATCCAGAAACATTCCAAGTCGACACATAAATTAACCGTTAGAGTTCTCTTTCCCCAATTGATTGGAGATGCCACTTTTGTTAGTTACTGAATTTCTTTAGGTACAGTGTGTGGGGTTATATTCTTGATTTTTTAAAAAAAATTTTATTGGTCCTCCTATTAATGCCCAGTATTCTACAGTTTTTATTATTTTTTCATTGCTGGTAGGGTTAGTATGTCTTCATTAGTTTTCTTTTTCAGAGTTTTCTTGGCTATTTGTGTATGTTTGTTTTTTCATATAAACTTTTCATTTTCTACCATGCTTTTTCCTAAGAATGTTGTTATTATAATGTGGTCTCTTTATTTTTCATTATATCTTTTTCTGTGAAACAGATGATTCTAGACCACTGAGTTTGGGGGTTTTGTCACACTTCGTTACTGGCTGACATGGTTGGAGCCCTTCCTAGGTGAGGCTGTGAGTGCATTACATCAGGATAAGCGCAATGTTCCGTTCTCCCACAATAGTGATGTGAGGGTTGATCATAGATCCGGGTGCTGATGGCTTCTGGGACCACTTTAAATGGAATTTTCTTCGTGAGGCTTTACAGACCACACCATTAAGTGTTAATTTTGACCAGAAACCCTGGTGATGGTTAGACTGTGGTTGCTAATTCTCAAAGGGGCCATTTTCTAATTCCTCGTACTTTTGAGTATTAAGTTCAAGTCAGGTATTTCTCTCTTCTGTTTAGTGGGGTTTCATGCTCTTAATTGACAGGTATTTTCTCATATTTTACTCCCCTTTGGCAGGCCCTGTACTACTTCTCCTTTCCCTGTTTCCTATGTAGTTATCAAATGGAAAGTTAAAATCTGAGCAAAGGTCAGCTTCTATTTCTCTTACTTTCTGTGTTCTTGGTTTACTTTCTGTATGTATCTGGTTTTACTCTCATTTATGTAAGTTCCGGATGCATCTGAAAAGGCATTACATCCAGTATTTTAGGTCTTTCAATTTAGAACGTCTAATCTGCCATACTGTTGGAACTGGGACTCTCTTAGTATTTTCTAGTTGTTAATTTGACATCCCTTACACAATTTAAAACTATACACATGTAATATAATAGATAATATAGAATGTACAGGCAGTACATTCCCATTATATAATGAAACTTTTCTATTGTCTCCTTTATTCTTTCTAAATAAAATTCACAGATCTTATGGATACAAAATTCATAGATAGTATAGATTACCTACACAAAATTTCAAACAAGTCAGAAAAATGCATTAACTGTGTATGGAAAAGAGAAAGAAAGTAGCAGATGGTAAAATATTGAATATTTAATTAGGTAAATGTTCTCAAATATTATGAGAGTTGTGAAAAAGGTGCTTGTGTGTATTTGTGGGATCACTGTGAACT